CAGAAAAGTTCTTCATGAGTTCCCATAAAGAAGGACTAGAGGACACCAAAGGAAAGGAATGGGTAGCAGGCTTCAAACTAGTAACAGAAAGTTGTTCTTCACAAAGTAAAGAGTCGACCTGTGGAACTCCTTGGTGCAGGAGGCTGTGAAGGCTACAAGCAGAACAGAGTTTAAAGGGAAGTGAGATCAAGTCATGGAGGTTGGGTCCATGGAGTAGTCTTAGCCAGGGGGTAGGAGTGGTGTCCCTGCCCAAAGTTTGTGGAAGGCTGGACTACACACCCCTTAATTAGAACTAGTAAGTTCGAACTAGGCTTAATCCTCGTAAAATGAGGTTTTCCTAGTTCGAACTAAGCGCTCTGCTAGTCCGATTCAAATTCGAACTAGCGGAGCGCTAGTTTAGCGGCTATGAATGTTAGTTCGAACTAACGTCCGTTAGTTCGAACTAACATTGTAGTGTAGACATACCCCTTTAGAGCAGCGGTTCCCAACCTTTTCCAGATGGGGATCCATTTTGACAATTCAGGAAGACTTGGTGACTCAAGGCAATTCAAAAATGGGGGGAGAAAGGCGGGCAGAGCCACCTGAGGAGACACTTGGCGATCCTTTTGAAATGTAATGGTGACCCATATTTGGGTCCTGACCGATAGTTTGGGAAACCCTGCTTTAGAGAGATATATAGTATGTTAACAAAACACCTGATGACTAAACAGAACCAGCTACTGGATGAAATAAATTCTCTTCCTCTCCAGGAAATTACCATTATAAATATAACCCTCACGGTTAGATGGATCTTGCTCAAGCCTTCAAAAACAGTCCTGTAACAATAGCCACTGGCTACTGACCCATGCCATATGACAGAGTATAACAGTTTGTAACTCAGATCCATGTCAGATGCCTGAGATCAGAAAAGTACAGACTTATCTTTTCATAACCCTCCTGTGTTTTATTAAATTTACTTGTGAACAGTTGTTCAAACTCAGAATGGCTTCTTAATTTGAAAATCTTTGTGTACATAAACATTTGCATGACCAAGTTTTTGTACACAAAAATGTTTAGGATATAATTTTCCAAATGCTGGAAAAGTAAGCTCCCCATTCAGAAAAATGAAACTTGTTGTGCCCCATTCTTCCTTCTGGAAGCCTGCCACATAGTGTTACTCATCTCAATATCTTTTCATGCCTCTCTCCGACTAGTGCTTCGCACTCCACCTTCCATGCACACTTCACAGTTTAGGAAATGTTTACTTAGGGAATGATTATTCTGCATCCTTTGACCATATTTGCAAATAAACATGGGGATTGTGTGTGATTAAGATTTACTGTCACTCGCTAGTCATCATTTATTTTCTTCCTTTAAAAAAGTTTTAGTCATCCAACCAGAAAGCAGAAGTGATATTGCATGAATGAAGTGACCAATCACACATTTGAGTTCTTTCAGAACTCTTGGGTGAATACCATCTGGTCCCAGTGACTTGTTACTGTTGAGTTTATCATTATGTTCCAAAACCTCCTCTAATAACAACTCAATCTGGGACAATTCTTCAATACTGACTTTCCCAGAAGGCAGTCTGAACTCATCCTGAGAGAGAGTTAAATTTGCTTCATTGGCATTCAGACTTTCTCTCTTTACAGATCATGAAGGTAGGCAATCTTTTCCCCCATGATGTTTGTATCTCCTGATCATATCCCTGATAGTTCTCTTAGATCTGTGACATCAAAGTCTGACTCTCAGGAATACAGACATTGAAAATGTGCACTTCAAAAACAGCAAGTGATTATTTTGTACATGCTTGATGGCACCTTAGCAAGCTAGTAACAGCACAGCATCTACAGATGTGTCAAGGCTGCTCTTAATGAGGGAATAGCAGACAGAAAAGCTAAGCAAAACTTTTAAACATCTTTTAGTGGGATTCTAAGACAGATGTGCTGAAAACCTACCTACTACTACTGAGATAAATCTTAAATTATTAAACAAATTTGTTTCCAGGTCTTATATTTTGGACACGGCTAATAAGTTATGGGGAAAAGGTGTCCCCACTCCAAACCATGAATGGATCAGTCAGCGGATCCTGGACATCACAGAAAAAAGGATGTTGCTCACTTACATGGGAACAATCAAAAATACCAGTTATCAACTCACAGGGCCAGGGCCCAAAAGGGTTGTGGATCTGCTTCAAGACAAAGTCGATTAGGGATAGTTGCTTAGTGCTTTTTTTCTTAAAAAAAAGGTGCCGGTACTCTTTAAGACCCAACCGACTGTCAGCCATTTTCATTACAGAGGTACCAGTACTCTCTGTTCTTTCCCGGTGAGCTCTGACTGGAGGTGCCGGTACTGTGTACTGGACAGTACCATCACAAAAAAAGCACTTATTACTCTCACTATGTCACTACTATTACAGGCTTAATACTGCCAGATGGTTTCACAGCTACTGCAAAGTAATACGCTAATAAGCATAGCAGAGCAATGTACAAAAAAGTAACAGGTACTTGGAAATGCTTATGCCCCTTCAGTCTGCGGGGAGTCCCTTTCTGGTCACCTTACACCCAGCTGTAGTGGATGTAGCTCCAGCTAGGAGCACCCTTCGAGGTTTAGGTCCCTAGTGAGACACAGTGGGCACAGGACTCCCTACATTAGTTATACTACAGTTGTTTACTAGGTGTGCAAGTATCTGGCTCAATACCATTCTTACCACTCTTATGAGCTGAGACTGAGGTCAGACTTATTTACTGCTTAGTAGTTTCCCAGATCAAGGCATGGGTTAAAGCTGATAAAGCCCAGTTGCTGTTTGGGCTTGCAGGGTCCCAGGCTATGCTAAGCTGGGTACAGCAGGGATGGAAACTTCCATCCCAGGCCTGCTAAGCTGCAGGACCCACATATGACTTATGTGACACCAGTGCTTCATTGTTTTGAGTAACATAGCTTTAAAGCAGAATCGTGAAATATTTTGGGGAAAATAAGGCTCAAATGTTCAAGTTTTGCTTTATCACTAGATGTCCAGAAAAAGATTTTTAAGATAAAATCCTAGCCTCATTGAAGTCAGTTGGAAAAGTCACACTGACTTCAATAGGGCCAGGATTTCTCTGCAGATTTTAAGGCCTGAAGGGGCCATTATGACTATCTAGTCTGACTTATCGCAGAAAATGTACCACTGAGTTTCACCAATTCCTGGCATCAAGACCATAACTTCTGGTTTAGAAAAAAACACCCAATATTGATTTAAATAATTTAAATGATGGAGAATCAATCACATCCCTATGTAAAAAAGAATAGGGGTTTTGTAGCATGTATGAAAAGTTGATATTGAGTCCTCACTCCTCCTTGATCTATAAGAAAGTGTACTGAAGAGTCAAGGGAGCTCCACAAAGAACCTGTTGCTATTTACTGCCCTCTCAATCTTTCCAAATACAGTAAAACTCTGGTGGTCAGGCATCCAGTGGTCTGGTACACCTGATGGTCCGGCACCAACTGCAAACCGGAAGTGCTCCGGCAGCTGCTTCAAGTTGTTAGAGTAATTGATTAACTGCGGCTGGATCCACAGCCGACACACAGTTAATGTAACTTTCCTCTCTACTGCCAGGAGGGGGGGGGCCAGGGGAAAGTAGGGGTCGGTGGGAGAGGGAGCAGGAGGGGGCGAGGGTGTGCCAAAGCAGCCGCATTCAGGACGTTCTGGTCAGTTACAGTCACTCCGGCTGGATGCCTAGGGAGGCTGTGGAATCCCCATCTCTGGAGATATTTAAGAGTAGGTTAGATAAATGTCTATCAGGGATGGTCTAGATAGTATTTGGTCCTGCCATGAGGGCAGGGGACTGGACTTGATGACCTCTCGAGGTCCCTTCCAGTCCTAGTCTTCTATGATTCTAAGGTGTCTTTCCTCCCTGAAAAAATCTTGGTTTAATGAACTTTGTTGGGGGGGGAACGGGTAGATCCGCAGGTGACAGGCTGCTGCTGAAACTCACAAGAGATCATCTCCCCTCCCTGTCCCTGCTGCTTTTACCAGTAGACCGATAGTCCAGGATCAAAAGATCAAGTGAGTGAGCTTGCGCAAAAAACCAGAGGCAGCAGTTGGACCCAGTGAACCCGAAGGCATTGAGTCAGTCTGCCATTAGCATTGTGACCCACTGGAGAGTGCTGTTTTGACTTTTGAATATTTTTGCCCATCAGAGTGTACATAGTGATGGAGTCAAAAGTGAATGAAGGTGCTAGTAGTAGTGGTAAGAAAACTTTAAAAAGGAAGCATATAACCCTGACACTGAACCAGAAATTAGAAATTATAAAGATGCTAGAAAGAGGCATAAATCGGAACGTTATCATGAGTAAATTTAACGTTGGATCTTCGACAATCTGACAAAGAAACAGAAGGATAAATTGCGAGCATTTGTTGCTGAAAGTGAAGCACCTACTAAACGTACTGAGCTACGGCAAACTCTGAAAATGCCTAAGATGGCACAGTTGGATGTAGCTTTGTTTAAGTGGTTTAGTGCAAAGCGTTCTGAAGGTAAGCCCATTACTGGGCCAGTGCTCATAGAAAAAGCAAAACAGTTTCACAGTCAAATGAATATTAGCGAATCATGTGTGTTTTCAGAAGGTTGGTTGCGTAATTTTAAGGATCGGCATGGGATCCATAAATTAGATATCAGTGGTGAGCAAAAGTCTGCCAATCATGTAG